TAGGCTCTTGTTTGTACTGTGCTTCTGTAGTTAGAACAGCGGCCAGAAACCACTATTTCTCGCATAAAACTCCATAGTGGAACACGGTTAATTCACACTGCACCATGCATGCAGAGGGACACACAGTTAAAGTGTTTTGATGTATTCTCTAGATATATCTCTTTTATGTCAAAGTCGGCGATGTCGCTTGCAATTGTTTACAGGTTTGTAGAGCATTGTAAGACTTAGTCGCGATTTTATTATGGTCTGATCATGAATCGATGTTATGTAGATTTCCCACCGCTAAGTAGTTATACTACTACACATTAGTACCCCTTAATCGTATGTTTTATTGGATGATTTTATTATAAAAGGCTATAGTTATGGGCTTAAAACTTTGGTTAGCAACTGGCTTTACACTGTGTTGAATTGACTTTACTAACATTTCTCACCTTGAAATAGTCATTTGGAAAAGTTAACATTAGTACCCGTCAATAGATGTTTTATTGGATGATTTTGCTAGTATATAGCTACAGTGCAAAAACTTTGGTCAGCAGCTAAAATAAGTTAAACGTGACAATGTATGATAATGATCTTGTAATCCATTGGTGTTGAGGAATATCCCACAAGTCACTTGTATTTTCCCGGTATACTGGCACACGAGCCTTGTTTTAGAGTGGGATTTTCCAAGGTATACCATCGTAGAGAGCGTTGCGTATAAACCATTTTTTACCATGCAGTAGAAAATGCAGAAAATACAGTACACAAATAAAATACACAATCAATGCGACATACGCGTGGCGCACGATAGGAAGGTTTAGTGTAATACCGTCTAGTTTATACCGGTTTTCCTGTATGCTGATTGGCTGTATTTTCTATGGCATGGTATAAATTTCAATTTAATTATATACATACTGATTAGAACCTCAATTTAAAAAAAAAACATAACTGGATTGTCAAAAGCAAGTTTATTGACAACTTTGTACAGAGCGTGTCAATCACATGCACAGGAAAGTCTCTTTTGCCCTACATATATTAGCCTGCTCGCTAAATTAAAGAGTAAACATATCAGCTTTTTGACAGACCAAACAAAACAATAAATTCATAAAACGAAGTGACCGCGAGGGAACAACAACAACAACAAAGCTTTATCTACTCTGGACACTTAATACACATTTGCAAAGAAAATTATCACAATAACTTAGGGAAAAGATATGTGTTTAAAGTCAAGCCAGGGGGACAAATGAACCTTGCGGTTTCCGAGTTATTCCCTTGCCTTTTACGTGCAAAGCAAAATAAGACCAAGGGAATAACACTTTTTAGCGCATGGTTGGTTTCACAAATATATCGTTCAACTGCACAGTTACATATGTCACTTAGAAATTTGATTGTCAAGGAGAAAAAATTAGAGTAATCGGTGCCCCGGCATCTTCATCCCCCTGATATTGGCTCACGTCTGCCCGAGTGAGCCACCTTCCAAAATGTTAAAATCTGACGTAAAATAAATTTAAAGGTTTCAATTGTTTAAAACTACTGAAGTATAAACAATAGAAAGAAAGAAGTGTGTTGTTTATTTATGGATTATAACCACTGCATTTTCTACTTTTACAAACTTTTCACGCTGTCGTCCGCAAAAGCCAGCGATTCGATCATCTCTATCCAACTGTGAAACAGTTCTTGCTCGGCATTCATGCGGAAATTTTGTTGCTGGGTCAGAAAATCGATAAGCGGGTCAGCCTCTGACGTTGGCTGTCGGAGGCAAGAGGTGACATTAATTTGAAATTGCACTTTCACAGGTATAAAATACTTCCAGCCGTTTTTCTCAGCGATGGCAGCGACCTCTTGGTTCGTGTAAAAGGACATAACGGCAGGGAAGAAGCCTTCATTTTGAATTGATCTAAGAGAACCGAGCTCGGCTCAACGATCACGTTATGTATAGTAGGTGGTTTCTTCTTTTGTGATACTATGAGCTCCACCATAGTTTGAAGAATAAGGAGATCAATCTCGCCGCTTCCACTTCCAATGCCTAACACTTTGAGTGGTTTGTCGATGTCAACCTTGTCGATAATTTTCAGCATGGCCTGCCTTATCCCGTCCTGCGTAAAGTTAAGCATAGCTGGTCGTCTGACCGTTGAGTTGTCGATAAATGCCTGAAACGACCTTTGGTACATTTCATGGGATTTCCAAAGTGGGTCTAGAGGCATTTTGCACTAAAGACTGAGAGAAGAGTGACACTAGTTAGAAATCAAACGCCGCCGGAACTTGTCGCGCAAGAGATTATCAGCGGTCGTCAAATAATTAACGACAATTAAATGCACTGATGAGAGGGAATCGCAACCACCTCCCGCAGACGATGCTCTTATATGATTGATTGCCGGTAAAGATAAGAACACCCCATTAGTGACTTAACTACAAGAATAATATTTTTTTTAAACAGCAAAAGCCTGCATATCCCGGTGGCCTTGATCGTCATATGTAATCTTTTTATCGTCGCCTAGATTGCGTTATCTACCTTAGAAAGGCCGAAGCCGAGCGCAGCACGGTCTGTGATGGTCTTTTCGGCAATGAGTTAAATGCACTCGGAACAATTGCTTTAGGAATATAGTAAGGGGAGATTCAATGTACGTTATAAATTGTCATCAGCTTCTTGGAACCGAAGGGCGCCATACTATGCCTTGTCCAACAAGGGTAGGTTTGGTGACTTTTGGGTCTGAAGACATGGTTGCCAACGCGGAGGAAGATCTCGCCACAATAGCGATGGAAAGCGTGTGGATACATGACCTCATTAGACAGGAGTTTACAGTCGATGTAACTCCTTGCTTTAGAGAGTCTTCCAATCAGGGCGATCTCCCCATGGATTTCTTTAAAGAGCCGATAACTAGAAATAGACCAGGAGTGAAATTCTTGAAGGGAGAAATGGTAGCTCAGTGTAATTGAAAAGCGACAACCAGCTCCAGAATGCAACAATCCTGTTTTTGACGCTTGTAAAATCAACACGGTAAATGACTAAGAACTTACTACAAAATACACAGATTTGTTTCAATTACTTTTTTCCCCTAT